AATTTCTACATTGTTCCTTGGTTTGCTGTCCGTTATTTCTCTTTGGAACCTGGAGAAGTGCTGGTGGCTTGAGGGTTTTGGAAGTCACTGAGACAGGACAGTAATATACCGGTTCGTCTTTTTTTCTTGCTGTATTGCTCTTAACTCAGGTTCATCAACTTATGCATGCTCAGACTGCTGGTTTGTCCTCACATTTCTAACTCCAGGGACTGCTTAAGAGAGGAAGATGAAACTAAATGTACAGAACTATATTACCAATTCAAATCATGTGTGCAGTGTATGTGTTTAAAGAAATCAATCTATCAATTCTTTCCTCGATACTATTTTTACTTTAGATGTATTACTGTATCTGATACAGTGTAAATTCTCAAAAATATCTGTTTGCTCCTTGCTTTCTTTAGTCTCTAATGCTTGGTTTCCTTTTACTAATTTGTTTTTCCTTGCCTTTTTTTTTTGTTTTTCTTCTTTCTGCAGCTGAAGAATGCTTTGCTGATTCTGACCTGAACTTTCTTATTCCCATCGCGGTGGGCATGGCACTTGGCTTCCTTATCATTCTTGTCTTTATATCTTATATCATTGGAAGAAGAAAAAGTCGTACTGGCTATCAGTCTGTGTAATCTCTTCGTTCCGTCCCTGTTGCTACCTTCCTCGCTCTTCTCCTTTTCCCAGACTTCCTGATTTGCCTCTTTAAAAAGAAGAAAACCAAATGAATTCGTAGTTTATTTTAAAAAGTTTAAAGCACTTGATGACAGAATAATGTGCCATGAGTCTGAAGGTGAATTGCAGAGTTACTTGAAGCTACTGTATGATTCTAGAGAAAGTAAGTGTTCTGAGGACCATGGAACTGAGTAGTGGTGATGTGTGTCCATGTGAGAAATAGGATTATTTTCAGTAAAGAAGACATCTACAAAACTTTTTCTGTTGTTTAATCTTTTTATACAAGAAAATTTCCAGTTGCTTACAGCTTATATTGGATAGTACTAGAGCTAAAACCATAATTAAAGGTGTGACTGCTATCTCGAAAGCGAATTGTACATGCTGTGGGAAAATGAACACCAAGCTCTTAACAGGCTTCTATCAGGAACTTGGAATATGGCTGTTGCCTTTTTTTCATTAGGAGCTTGTTCTTGTGAATCAGTCTGAGTTTCATATTCCTTCTGAGTGTAAAGGTGGTACCAGATCTCACTAATAAACTAACATAATATGAGAAGAACATTTCATTCTAGTAAATTAATCTAACATCAGCATGGAGAAGTTGACTGTTAATGTGTGTTAAATAGCTTTGCACTGACATGATGTCTTTAATGTCTTTGTTCACAAAGATAAGGCTCAGTCCTGGAGAACTTTCACTACTTAGAAAAGCCAACAGTCTGCCAAAGGAATTGTGTCCTGTGCTGTTTTGTTTGTGCTTTGCCTTTTGTTCAGAGCTTAATTGTGAAATGAGAGAGGGAGGCTGGAATTTCACTGACTGCAGTTTGTCTCAGTTTTGATTCTGTTCACATAAAAGAAACTACACAGCGCTTCAGCGCTAGTTCGTGTGAGGCTCAAGAGTATTTTGAGAGCTCTCAAAGACTGACTGAGAACGGGGATTGTTCAGAGATTCCTGCAGTTCCTTCAGATGGCTTTCATGGGTTAGCAGGGGATCACTCAGAAGCTGTGATCTACGAATGCAAGTGAAAATACAAAACCAGTCTGTTTTGATCGCATTAATCTCCTTTTAACTTCCCATTTATTGCTCTCTCAAAACAGCTGAATAGTGTAAGAGCACAAAATTTGTAGTATGAGGAATGCTGATCATAAAGCAGAAACTAATACATAGTGGAGAAAGTCACTTCCAAAGGAGTAAGAGCATCTGACTTGTTTGAAGATGCTTTCTTTGTTATTAGCATCATACCTCTTGCAATTCCATGTTCTGTATCTAACCTGTACCAAAATAGAAGCTCATTCTTTGTGGTTGTGTTCTGCTTCATTCCCATCAGGTTCATGGTGATGAGATGAAAGAAGCCTCTTGCTCTTTCACCCTCTTTGGTCTATCTCGCTAAACCTCGATTTCCAACTGGCAGCTCAAGAGCTGCCAGGTCTGCAGAGATCTCCAGGTGGCACACAAAGCTTCTGTCCTCTGCAGCAAGTATTTACTAAAGCAGCTTTAATATTTAATCTCTTTGTGCATTGAGCCTCTATCTGTAAACTTTGTTATTTCACGTGCACAAAGAAGACAGTCAACACTGATGTTTAAGTAACTCACAATAGCTGTATATTCAGAGAAGGGAGATTTCAAAAGAGTTACTTTTGATATATGAGAAATACCTGCACGTTCAGTGATTTTTGTCCTCACTGTGACCAAAGATAAGCTTTACCTGAATTGGACAGCACTGATTCTTGTACAGCAAATGGACTCTTGAACCAAGTTGTCTTTTTTTGTAGGAGTGAAAAAGACAACTTTTTTTTTTTTTTAATTGAGTAAATGCTGCAAGTTGGACTCTGTGTGTTGGCTTTAGTTGTCTTGGTCATTTGTGTTGTGCCTTTGCTCTTGCAATACTTGATTTTCCTTGCCAGAGTGGTAGATGGTGAAATATTTTGGGACTGGCAATTTCTGAGTAACACCTACTTGTCTAAGCATGTTACTTGTCTGCTGCCAGCCGATGGTTTCCATCCAGGGTTTTAGGCTCAGATTGCAGATTAAAGCATTTTGCATCATTTTTGCTTGGTTATTTTAATAAAATCTAGCAATTTCATAAATGAATGTATATTTTATATGTGCATATAAAGTATTATTTTGGGCTTCAACAGAAGTCAGAAATTTGGCCAGCACTTTTAGGTGGTTGTAGCATGAAGAGTGGTGTACACAGTTCTCCAAATCTGTACAAATATGCTGAAAGCAGAATCGGTGTATGGAAAATAAAGTTAACTACAGTGTTTTTAAAACTTTGTTTTAGTGTAAAGAGACACATGCCATTTCTGAGAACTTTTCCAATGGGATCATTGATGTGATGGGATCTAGATATTGGTGGGGGAACAGAAACTTTTGCTTCTAAGCTGTTCACGTGTTTACATCCCAATTAGTTGGTCTTTCTTTGTGGCTTGGATCAAAGCACGGGTCCAGCATCTGCTAAAGGACCAGCTGCTTCATGAGTCCTTCCAATAGGCAGGTAAGGAATAGATTTGTCCTGTTGCTAACTGGAGAACTGTTAATTTCACATCCTGAAGCATGGAGGGTTTGGTTTCCACAGAAATACAAGTGTTTCAAAAGAGCTAAAGCAATTGGCAGGTGGGGAAATGTTTGTGGATTTAACTTGCTTCTGACATCAAAAGAAAAAACCACTACCATAGCAGCATCTTCCTCGGTAGAAGCTGGTTTCTGTTGAGCAGAACATGCCCCTTTAAATGTGTTGTGCAGGCAGAAGGATTGTGTTGCCCTGGCTCTATCAGTGTCGTGTAAATAACGAACTCCGAGCAAAATTAATCCCTAAACTACCTCTGGTTCAGGTTTTTGACAGTTTTCAGTAAACATGTTTTTGCCTGATGTTTGGTTGTGGTATTTAGTGTATAGCGAGGTTTATGGTACTGGGCTTCTGAACTCTTTGGCCCTAGGAGGCTAATCAAGTGCTCAAAATTCAAGGGTCACATTACACACTGCCTTGAAATTCAGTCCCCAGCTGGCCAGGACAGGGAACTGAAGTCACAAACTGCGTCTCTTATGCCAGTGTTTTAAGAGTAGTCCCACAGAAATAATTTTACTGCAGTTGCTTTATTTTTAATACGAAAAATTACTTCTTAGAGACTTAATATAGATCAGGAAATTATGATGGCAGATAGTACCTGCACTAGGATGTAGGACAAACATACCATAATGCTCTTGTTCAGTCAGTAATTTTAGTAAGTGTGCTTTCCAACTAGTACATTATCCTAAGGTGTCCTGTCCCGCCGTGTTCTCGTAGCTCCTAACGTACAGCGTGTGGTTTGTTTTTGTCAAATGTGAGGGCTCAGGGGCCGGGGAGGGCCAGGCTGCTCACACGGCAGAGCTTGCTCAGGTTTGCAGGCCTTTTCTCCAACAAAGGCCTCGTAGGTCTTTGAGGATGATAAATTGATGACTTCCCTAATACAAGCATTGACCCCTGAACAACTGAACATTTCCCTGTGGTTTTCCACAGCATTATAGCTGTGACCTCTCCGGAACAGCGAAGAACAGGCCTGAAATATTTGGGGGGCAAGGGAGTCTAACACATTTCACTGGTGCTTCTGTGCCTGAACAGGGGAGGGAGGAGCTGTCGGCCTGTGAACCGTGACAGGGAGAGAAGAGCTCCTTTCACTTGTAATATACTGGATGAGGATTCCTGGGGCAGAGAGGAGTACTGGAGTGAGGAGGAGGAGGATGGAGAAATACATTAATCCTCCCACTTCAGAAAGGAACAGTTGGAAGGGTTCAAGGGCAAATGATTTTCTACATGGCCTTTGCTCCAACACCCTGGTGTGCTGAACAAGCTGTGTAAAATGCTGCAGTCAAGATGCCCCTGGTGCCGAAGATCCTAGGAGGCATTTTGAGATCTGCCATTTTCACTTTTTTAACCACATCATACAAGAATAATGCTAATAAACTACCCTCTTGCTATCTTTTGCCTGAGAAATGCACATAAAACTATAATAATAAAGATTAAAATTTAAAGCCAGGGAAACCTGCATTCCACAGGAGTCACTCGTAAAAGACCTTATGAAAGTAGTGTTCGGATACCAGAGGGTTTTTTAATCGAAACTGAAATGCTTTCGCAGGTTCTCTGCCTGGAAATAACTTTTAATTTTTGCTAATAATGCTTTATGTCAGATGATGGAAAATGTGGTTCCACGCTCCATTGCATCTCATTTGTTTCCTAACTATGAACGAAAATAAATTAACAAAAATCTCCATGTGCTTGTTTTTCCTAGCAGAAAAAATGCCAGCTTTATGCTTTAAAAAGGAAAAAGCCTCTGATTGACTTAACCTAAGTGCCCAGTGTTTGCAGTGGCTACTTTCCAATGTTGAGAGTGAAGATAATTCGGCCCAGGAAGCGGTCGCTGTTAACATCGTTGATAATACCTTTTCCATTCAGACTGCACTGAATAGGTACCAAGTAATTCCTCTTCACATCTGTAAAGTGCATAGCTACCAGTGGGGATGTATAGTTGACCTGAAAAAAAAAAGGGAGATTTAAGTGTAATTTTTGAGGGAGCAGAAAAGCAGGCAGTGCTTTCATGTTCAGGACAAATCATTAGTAATTAGTTCACGGTTTCCAGGTGTCTGAGTGCATTTGCCTGATGTCCGTTGTGGTCCATCAGGATGCTGAAGCTGGGCCTTTCTGTGCCTGTGCCTCAGGGAGACGGGATCACGTTGGAGTTTTGCACTGCACCTCTTGGGTTGGTTAGGCAGGACAAGTCACACCGGATAATGGGATTCTCAAATACTTTCTGCTGTTCTAAAAACTGACTTTAACAAAAAATCCATTATGTTCCTCTGATCTGTGTGCTCAAAGGATGTGAAGACCTGGCATCTGGGGCTGTTACTCACCCTCAGCAGCACCAGCATGACATTAGGAGTCTAGTGCCTGCCTCATCTTCCTTTTCAGCTGTTGCTGTGAAGGTGTGCTGTCTCCTAATGCTGTACAGTGCAGACCAAAGCAGTGCTGGCCAGCGTGTCCAGAAACAGCCACCCATGCTGGACTGCTCTGTTTTGAGCTACCCAGCCTGGTGTCTCACGGCTTTGACAGAAGCCTCATCCTTCTCCTCTTGTGTTGCCTAACCTCCGACTTCCCTAATGTTCTGGGAAAATGCTAGTATTGAGACTTTCTGGGAATTAGCAAAGCCAGTCTTAGGCTCCAGATCGTAAATATAATCATTCCCATTGCTGGCAAGGGGGAACCGGAGTCCCCAAGGATTTCCTGCAGTTTGTCAGAGACAGAAATAGAGCACTGTAATCCCAGTGCTTGTGGCCTCCCTCCTGCCTGCATCTGCCCAAAATAGCCAGAAAGCACATCTGTACTCTGTGCAGCAGCTCCTGCCCTCTCCTTCCCAGGGAGACATAGCAAAGATGCCAGAGTCCTTACTCACGTGAGTGATCTTGCCATAGTAGGGATAATACATGAGATCAAATGTCCCATTTCCAGGGTAGAAGTCCACCGATCTGAGATGACTGTCATTGCCTTTCTGTGATTGGAAAAAGAAAAAAAAAGAAAGGTACACACATAGCATGTGGGACAAGTGCTTTATCGCTCTTTAAAGGTATGATCCAGCTGGTGCCCGGGCAGCCAGAGCCCTTCCTTCATCTTATTGCTGTTGGCTTGCAGGGTCCTCCCCAGGACCAAGGGTCCTGTGGAGTGGGTGGGGATGGATGTGAGCAGCTCTTGCCTCTTCTCTGCTTGCCATCTCCAGGCTCTAGCTGGCACCCTGGCACCCAGCTTCACAGACCTGCCCTTGGGGACTGAGCAGAGAGGGCTATCGGTGAGGTTGGCAGGAGCCGACAGTGCTTGGAGCATGAGGGCCGGGGTGGGAAGCGTGAGAATGGTGTCCTCTGTCCTTCTTTGCAGACTGTCCCCTGCTTGCACCCAGAGGAATCAACAGCACTGGGTCTTGTGAGTTTTTGTGGCTAAAACAAGGTGGTGTCCATCAAAGTGAGAGATCTGGCCCTGAACACACCACGAACGAAGGCAGTACCTGCACTTTGCAGTCCACGCTCACGGGGACCCCAGCGCCAGGGCGGTAGCCTATGATCTGCAAAACCAAAAAACATCCACGTTTCTATGAAATGCTGTGCCAAGTGTGTGCTGCCTCCCTCCTCCAGGGCTGGAGGTCTTCTGTGTGCCAGTCACATTGCTCAGGACAAGAGTTATGTGCTCCTAGAAGAGAAGCAGGGTCTGCCACCCCGTGTGGGGCAGCTTGTCCTTGCCTGAGAGCAGAGCACCCCGAGAACCTGGACTCCCTGCAGTAGCATGGCCACTTCCCCACACAGCTCACATCCACCCCCATTTATCTTTCCAGCAGCGTGCACTGAGCCACCATGCTAGTAGAAGATTTCAAATAAATTTGATTCCAGGAAAATTCCCATTATAAAGAGACTCAGGCCTGGTGTGTAACCCTAAAGCTCAGTTCCTGCCACACAGGAACCTGGCACAAGACCCTCCAAGCACTCAGGCCTCAACAAATCAAACTAAGGAAGTTTTGTAGGTTTTCTTTTTTATGTTTTCTAGAGCCAGCAGGTTTTGGGATTCTAGTTCCTCTTCTCTCCCTGGGCCTGAGAAGCAGAGTTTCAATCCCTGCATGGTCTTTTTCACGCTGAGATGCACTGAAAGAAGGAATTAAGACAACTGGTTTTCTCTGTACCCGGTTCATCTTCAGCAGGAGGCAAGGCGGGCCTTTAGAGTATCCAAACGTTGGGTCCTCAATGCCAGAGCAGTTCTGCAGCAGCGAGCGCTTGAACTGGCAGGCCTTCTTCTCCTCACTTTCATTGCCCCCTTGGATGAAGTACTGTCCTGAGATGCACTCGATATTCTTCTCCTCTTGAACTTTGTCATCATAAGCTGGTGGGGAACCAAAAGACTTGTTAACATTTCTTGACACCTGCACAGACCCACGCTCTTGGAGTACGTCCACATGTCAAGGGAGTAGGAAAGTCCCACCTGGAAAGGCAAGGCTCCCTCCCACAGAAGCTCTCGTGACCACCTTATAGCCTCTTTTTCTAGATGCCAGTTGTGAGATGCCCAGGAGGACATGTCTGTGCATGGATGAAAAAAACTTGCCAACATGACTCCTGGAGTGCTTAAGAGCTTACCTGCTAGGAAGTGATGCATGCTGTCCACATAGGGTTGCCACGTGCTGGGCTGAGAAACATTGAAGGCAATGGTGAACCCATTCAAGTACGGTCTGATCATTACTCCTGGAGAAGGAAAAGGACCCTGTTAGAGCAGGCATGAGTGGACTGGCCACAGTGTTCAGATTGCAGGTGCTGGTTGTGCTGTGAGTGGGCTTTGGGCTGGCCACAGACACGAGAGAGGCAGCACCAGTTCGCAGGTTAACTCTCTCTTCAGCTCACTGATCCGTCATCTCCATTTCACACCCAGACAACACGGCGCACATCAAAATACCCTGGGAAACATGGGAGAGCTGGAGGGCCTCAGCATATCTGCAAGGAAAAGATGGGCTTGGGGCTGCACACGGAGGCTGATGGGTCCCCCATGCTCCCAGTCATGCAGCCAGCTCCAGGCAGGCAGCAGAGCAAGGGGCACTTGTGTTCCTCACCAACACAGAAACACAGGGAACATGCCGCTTCTGTCACAGCGAAAGGAGTTTTTAAACATTACCTTGCCAGGAGTCACACAAATAATAATGCAGAAAAGCTATTCTAGATTTCGTTTTATTTTGAAGATACAGGGTTTTTATTCTGAAGACGCAGGGCAGCAACTGAAATGAATGGACATCACCTATGAAACACCTAAACTTCTTCATTTACAATTAGCCTAACGATGAGCAACATTAGAATAACAATTGGCATAATCAGAATGAATGTTTCACATGGTGCTCTTTAAGATGCCTGATCCTCTGCTGTAGAGCACTGTCAGTGCCCGGAGGTAAGTTATAAACACCCTATGTTATGGAGGGCTGGTTGAGCATACAGCTCCGGGAGGGCTTCACCCGAGCTCCCTGCCGCACTGTTTCAGTAGCATTTTGCTGGGTGAGTGCTGGCAGAGGTGCCTGACACGGGCCTGCTGGGGTACGTACCCGGTGGAGACACACGGTCCCTGTACGTGGGGGTGTAGGGGCTCAGTGTGAGCAGCATCACGTACATGCAAAAGGCAAACATTCCTGCCAGGCACGTGTAGAAAATGAAGTAAAACAGTAAGATCAAGCCTGCAAAAGAGAGAGCACGTTGTTAACACAACCAGCACACGTCCTGTGGGCTGTGTCCCACAGGGATGTGCAGCCACCCTCAGAGCTTCTCCGCAGCTCTGAGTCCATCTTAGAGGTGAGATCTCGCAGCCCCCCTCCACACACAAACCCTGGCATTTTAGGGTGCAAGACTCTCAGCCATACACAGTCCCTGCACAGCCCTGGGGCTGGGACAGCTGCCGTTTGGATCTGTACCCCTTTGGCTGCATGGCCCTTCCCAGAATTGGGTCAGGACTGTGTGTCCCCCTTCTTCAGGTCTATCCAATAGACAGAAATAACCTTGGCTCTTGCCCTTCCCACCTTCTCTTGGCACGGTAACATATGAGGGTACCCAGTGGCTTCAGCACAGCTGAATTCCTGATGTCCCCTGCGGGTCAATGTTCCTGCCCCAATTCCTGTCACCTGTGCCACAGGGCCCCCCGTGCTGGGACTGAAGTGAGTGGCGTTGCTCAGGGCCAGCAGCATCGCTCAGGGCCGATGGCACCGCTGGCTGTTTCACAGCCCTGACATCCAGGGAATGGGTTTGTTTTTCCTTTGGACCACGCTGATGGCTGAGGATGTCTCAAGAGGCTGCAGCCTGTGAATAAAACCCAGTGGCTCAAAAAGCAAAGTGAAGCCCTATTCCAAACATTTCCCAGGAGAAACGTGCCGGCAGCTTGAAGGCAGCCCTGGGAACGCAGATGTGCACTCCTGCAGTGCTTCTGCTGGGGCTGTGGTGCTGGGAACAACTTCAGGGCCGTGTCCTGCTGCAGGCAGAGCTGGGACAGACAGGACCATCACCACTGCTGGTGGCACAGCAGGGACAACATCTAGCCCTGCCACAATGATGCTGAGACAGTGCCTCTGCACCAGCCCAGGAGGGCTGGAGCTGATACTGGGCCAAGACAGTGCTTGTTGGGACACCGTGTTGCCACCATTCCCGTTCTTGTTTCCTGCAAGCAGGAAGAATTGTCACTGGCAGAGGCGGCCATGCAGGCTTTCCCAGGGGTTGAGTTCTCCAGCGCTGACCCTGTGGCCAGCTGGCTCCTTGCATGTTGGCAGCGCAAGTCCCCCAAAGCCTGTGTGCCGGGGGAGCACCTTCAGGGCCAGCTCAGGGGAGCAGCCTGAGGCAGGGCAAGTTCTCTCCTCCTCACCTGTGAGATGACAGCAGGAAAGTTCAGCTCCACTCACCTCCAAATGCTCTCATTTTCAAAGAAAATTCAGCTTTCACAGTAGCTTCTATGTCTCTCTCCTATCCCTGGTACAGGCACTTGAACACGTGCAGGGGGCAGGGGGGGCTGTACAGCACACCGTGATGCTCCCAGGGCGCATGAGGACACTGCACCCTCCCTGAGGCTGTTAAATAACTAACTTCCAGCAGTAGCCAGCAAGGGCCAGACCCACACTAGTCTGAGCAAGTTCTCCCACAGAGCTTTTCTCAGTACCTGGCAGAGTCTCCAGAAACCCAAACCCATGTCCTTAAGGACTGTCACCCCCATCCTGCTCCCACACTCCAATCTGCACCTTCCCATCCAGCAATGGAGCAGCAAATCCAGGCACAGGGGAGCAACCGTAGATTTCAAGGCCCACCCCAGGCTCACGCCGGGGGGTTTTCAGGCAGCAACCCCCAATAATTCGCAGCATTACATCAACGTGCATGTGCATGTGACACTGGGATAAGGTTGGGGATTTTGACTCCGCCACAGGGGCTGTGTGCTGGCAGGAGAAATGTGGATGGCTTCACATGTGCTGTCACGCCTTGGCCTCGCACTGAGCCTGCAGCAGTGCTTACCCTGCAGCCATGGGCTGCTCTTAACGCCTCGGGGCACCTCCTGGGTCAGTGATGAGTTTTGAAGGCCACACGGATACAGATAAAATAGACAATGTGCTCAAAGCTCTCATTGGCACATCCCAGCCCTCCAGCCCTGGTAGCATGTGAGGGCTCTGCTGTGTCAAGCCCTGGGAGGCTGCAGGGTGATGACCAGCCCTTCCCATCCCAGAGCAGGCAAGGAGGGCTGCTCAGCCCCACAGTGTGTGTCCTCCCCAAAACACTTGCCCCCCAACTTGGGAGCTCTTCTCCCACCAATGCTGATGTCCCTAATGCCACCCCGCCATGGGCTCCTGACTTAATACACTAGTGGCAGGAGGGGCGTGAGGCTGTGCAGATTGACCTGCAACCCCCATGCTCGCTCAGGCTCTTAATTTCTTCGCAGTATATGGTCTAGGCAGCCCAAAATCCTTGCTTTCACATTCTCAGCAGCCATTAACATCCAAGGGTAACTTTCCAGAGATTTTTCTGCTTGTTCTCCTCACTAGTTCTTTACTGCACTCGTTAGAAACTTCTACCCTGAAAATGGAGGGGGTGGGGGAGGGGTGGTCAGGCCAAGCTATCAAGGATGTTCACAGGCAAGTGCATCCGTCAGGAAGCAGAAACGGCAACAATTCTCAAAAGCAGGGTCAAGAAAGGACTTACCCCAGCTCTTGGCTGTTCTCCCCATACACGTTCTCTCCTCTGGGTTCCACAGGAACATCTTCATCTCCCCAGACAAGTCTGCCCAGGTTTTTCTCCCCATGTCTGTCTTGGTGTCGTCCTCCACTCTGTCAGGATCCTGGACCTTCTCCTCCTGCTTATTTTCCTGGAAGAGTTACAGAACACAACCCCCACACACAAGCTGAACATCTCATTGGCCAAAAATAAATACAAAAGCACTTAATAGCTGGAAATGTTTCAAATTTCCATTCTCCCATCATCACTCTTGAGTTAAAGAGAGGCAGTTTTGGCTGTTCTGACTTAAGATCGCTTAGATCCTAATATCCATTTTTCCATGACATGTATATCACTGCCGTCATACCAGGCAGTGTCTCCTTGTCCTGGCATTTACAGAAAGTCAACTTATACCACCTGCCTGAATATGACCAAAGAAAATCTGTGAGCTGGGAGGGCCAGGGTTATTCCCACGCTTCTGCGAAGTTTCCAAGCGCAAGTGCACATTTTCTGTGCTACCACAGATGACAGCAGGTGGCATTCTTTAAGAGGTCATCTAGTTTGTTTTTCTTGGCGTGTGAGCAAATGTTTAGTCTTTGGAGAAATCCCTGTGTAGTTATTTTTTTAATTACACTAAGTTTCAGGGAAAAGCATCTCCTTAGGCAGCAAGAGCTTGCTTTTTGCCTTAGCAGTGAAAACTCGTCTTTTGGCTGGGTCAAGGTCATGCTTGCCCGCTCCAGCCATGTCTCCCTGAGGCTGCCTCGACTGCTGCAAGTGCAGCCTCACAACAGCTGCACTGGCATGATTGACTCATGTCTGTGCTGAGGGCCATGGAAACCCGCTGTCTGTGGGCACCTGTTGGAGCCAGGGCCAACAAGTGAGATGTTTACACCCCACAGGTCACCCCAGGGGAGCTGGAAAGCAGCCAACAGTTTGGCAGAAAGTCTGGCTTGAAAGCACCTTCAAATTGACGAGGACTAAACTCTGCTCAGATGCACAAATGCTGCAGAGTATTGACTCCAAAGACTAAATTCATGCCTTGAAGAGCCTAGGTCAGACCCAGGGGGGCTGTAAACCATCACCATCCCACTAATTGCCCCAGTCAGACCTGGATAAAGCTCCAGCGGGGCTCTTCTGGGAACACGCCTTCGTCAGAGCGCTGCTGCCGGCAAAATGCCTGTAGCTGCCCATACAGCAAAGGCAACACTTGGCCCAGGTCCTGCACCCTGGGCTGGAGCTCTTCCTGATCAGCTCCTGCATGGCCACAGCCCTCTTCCATGCAGAGCTCGTGAAATCAGAGGATTTTGGATCAGGGAAGCAGCAGTCCCATGACTGGCATAAGCCACCAGCAAGAACATGGGAGGTGTGGGGGCTGCTGGCTGCCAGAACACCCATGGAGGAGCAAGTGCTGGAAGGAAGAGGAGGAAGAGTTCTTCCTCTTGCTCTCTTCCCTATTAAACCAAAAGGCTACCAGTAGCTGCTCTGGAAACATTTTCTCAGACTGCCACAGCAGGGGGGACTGCTGGGAGGCACTCCGCACCAATGCTTAGTGCTGCTTTGGGAAAAGCCTTTAGGAAAAGCCTTTTGGATTTCACACTAGCTGCGGCCCAGAGGCAGCGAGGGCAGCGCATGGGCTGTATGCAGACTCATTGCCCAGAAGCTGCTACCAATGCTTAGAGCTGGGGGGGACCACAGGGATGACACCCCCATGGGGTCTCACACAGGGAACCCCACAACTCTGCCCTGCAGAAAGCTTTTGCGAGGGGAAAAGTTTCCAGCTCTTCTGGCTCTACGCTGCGTATCCAGCACACAGAGAAGGGTCTCATCCTGCCAGCTGGGAGAGGCCATGGGGGCTCCGTGGCAGTGCAGGAAGGCTGAGAGGGGCCTGAGATCTCCCCATGGGCAGGAGGGTCTGTGGGGGGCAGCTGGATGGGACAGGATGGCCCCACTGCCAGGGGCCTGGCTCAGGTCCCTGAGCTAGGGAGCTGGGTTAGGCCTAGATTGCAACGCTTCCCAGGTGTTTTATCTTTGCAGCCCAGGACCAGAGATTGCCTCAGAGCAACTCCTTGCACCCGGACAAGGGGCAGGAGGAGCGACAGGAGCTGGGGTAGCAGGCTGCTGGGGCAAGGAGAGGCACAGCCGTGTTCCCATACTGGACAGCCCCAGGCTGCTGCCTGCCGTGGCAGCTGGGTGACTCGAGGCAGTGAAGAAAAGCTGAGGTTCATCCCTGCTGGGATCGTGCTGCACTGACGGTCGTGGGTGCCCTGACAGAGAGCAGGGGCTTTCCCCTCATCCTCATCCTAGACCAGGTCAGTTCTCGGTGGCAGGTTCCTCCTGCTAAGAGCCAGGAGTGCAGAGGTTGACCCATGCTAGCTCCCTTCATTGCCCAGGACCACCGGCCAGACACATTTTCCTTCTCAGTAAAAGCACTTACATTTTGCCTATGGGATGAAGCAGCATTTCCTAAAGCAAAGTAGCTGTATTTATCAGCCATGAAGCAAGTCCTTGGCAGCAGCCCCCACCTCACCTCTCCAAGGGTAATCAACAGCCCCCAAAAGACTCACCATCTTCTGGTGGGGGCTCCTGTGCTGACCCTCTGTGCCCACGGCGCTGGCGTTCCTGTCCAACCCTGGGTGTGAAACACAGAAACGTGCGCGTCGGCATCGCAGGAGCCTGAGGCTGAGCCCAGCAGCACCAGCCCCATCCTGGGTGCCACATCACCCTGGATTTTGGGGACCTGCAGGAACAGCCCCCTCCTCAGCACATCTCCCCAACCCCGTGGCACTGCCCCAGAAAGGCTGAGTGAGCGCAGCTGCACGGAGACCTTTGCCTGTCAGCGAGGAACCACGCTGTTTTCCCTCCCTACTCCGTGGGACTTCAGCATTCAGGAGTGAATCAGAAAATGACTCGCTTTCCTAAGAGGGGTGAGCTCAATGCAACAGGATCCTGTCCCAAGGCTCCTGGCAGCTGGTGCCCTTTGCAGCACCCTCGCAGCATCCTGCCTCGCACCCGAGTCCCCATTAATGCCAGCCAGGGCCCTACATGGGGAAATCCAGGCTCTCTGCCCCAGGGAGACTGTGTAGCTGTTAATAAACATTAGCAAATCACTAGGGCTTTCAATGGCCACATGTGTCCGTCAATATGTGCTTGTCAGTCACAGCGGGGCCATGGTTAGTGCTTGCAAAATCTCTTTTGCAGTGAAGGGGTAGCTCAGAAGGCAGTTCTATATTTATCTCTTCAAATTGAGACAGCAGCTAGGAACACACAATGTTGGCTTCTCTGACCTGGCTGTAAAAGCTGCCCACGGTCACCCAAGACAAAATCCAGAGGGACACCTTGCTGTGACACCTGCAGACTGGGGCTGTGGAGTATCAGATTTTTCCCCACCTGTGAATTACAGGCACAAGATGGTGTGTTAGGGGCAGGGTGGGTGAGTGCTGAAGTCCCGCTGCTGCGGGGGGCCGGTGTGGTGGGAGTGCTGGGGGGCAGCAGGGGGACCGGGCACTGGCGTTGGGCCAGTGTGTGAGGCAGCGTGTTGGCAGTGTGTGAGGGCTGCCTGTCCCCAGCTGTGTCCCATGCATCTCTCAAGGAACAGTGGGGCTTGTTTTACACTGTCTGTCCCAGCAGAAGCTCAGTGCTGTCCATCATCTCATGCCCTCAGCACATTTCCAATGGGTCTGGCAGCCTTTCCCTTCATGGGAAAGCCAGGTTCCATTCAATGGTGGCGAAAGTCTGCCTTGCCCCAGGCTGGAGCTTTGCCTGGAGTCACCAGGACACCCACCCTGGGCTCCAGGGCAATTGCACCATGCCGTCCAAACACGTAAAGCACCATTTCTCCCTTTTCTCTCCTCACCATGGCTGAAAGCCGCTCGCCGGCTGTGCTAATAAATGGGCACAGCGGGAAAGAAAGAGGTCTGGCAGCTGCCCCGGTCTGCGCCGAGTTGGCCAGCGCTGCCGCATGCCTGCTGCCGGGTACGCAGGCAGGGCTGGTTCGGTACCGGTGCCTGCCTGCCAGCCTGAGGGAGCTGGGGTGGGGCACAGAGATTTAACGTGGCCTGGGCAATCGCGGGACCCCGGCAGCTCCCTAGAGGCACACGCACCGTATCTCTGTTGTTTTAACCCAAGGAATTAAGAATGCAGAATGCAATGTCCACTTATCTGTTGTGCAGATGCTGGGGATAGAGATCAACAAGGCCTGCACAGTGAGAAGGAGGGAGTTTGGTGGTGCCAGGACGGCCCTGTTTTGGCTAAAGAATGTGGGCAGACGGAGATTAGCAACTTCAACACCACCCTGAAGGCAAGTAAACTGATTCAAAACAGAGTTCTGAAGGCCACAGTGCCCGGAGTGAAACCTTTTGCTTCATTATCCCTAACATGCACATTAAAGTTGACACCCAAGACTATGATAACGATAACCTGCTAAACATTTATGACTATAGTCCCTGACTCCCACCGAAATCGTGCTAAATATCACCCCAGGGAGGAGAGATAGATAAGGCTAGAATATAAGGAATACGGAGGGAGTATGTCACTGGGGGGAGAACAAACCCAGAAGAGGCAGTTGATGGGCTGTGCTGCCTCTTCACTCGAGACAGGGACATCTTCTTGGTAAGAACTGCACTTTCACCTGTTGGTGAGAAATAACTGGGGTAGTATTTTGCTAGCATTGTTATTATTATATATTAGTGCTGTTGCAGTGAGTGAATTTATCAACAGCAATCCTGAATCTGTTGTATCAGTCGCTTTAATAAATTACCTATTCTTTGCTCTCTTGTAAATTCTCTCAGGGCAAGTCCTTAATGGGGCTCTGAAACACGGAAGCACTTAGCTCTGGAACGAGATTCCCCCAGCCGCACACCTTTCATGCAGCCCCATGACATCAGCCGTGCTGCCAAGACTGTCCCCTCCATCGCTAGTGGGGAGTGGGGGTGACTGAGCAGGCGGGGGCCAGTGCCAGCCCCGCTGCCCGGAGGGGCACAGGCAGTGAGCAGGGGGCTCCTCTAGTTCATCTGAGGTAAATAACTGCTGTTTTCTCTGCAGGTGACTTGCTGCTTGCCAGTAATTGATCTGGGCATTTGTAACTTCCCTCTTGCACCACTGTCAGCGTGCACTCCCAGGAGAAGCTGGTAATTAGGCTTTTATGCAATAAAAGTCTGGGGCTTTTTTGAAGCAGAGGTAGGATTAGTTTCTTTTAACTTGATGAAATATGCTTTGGCTTGAAATAATTACATGATTTGCACTTAGCACCTCTCAGCCCAGGGCATTAGAGTGATTTACAAGCAATTACAAAGCCTGCTGGGAAGATGCTTTTATCCCCATTTTACAGATACAATACGGAAAACGGAGGCTGAGGGCCTGCCATGCTCTCCTGGGAGTGACGCCTCCGTGGGACGGGGCACAGGCGAGAGCGGGTGTTGATGCCGGAGCACAGATCTCGGAGCACCCAAAGTGAAAACCCGTGGCGGCCGCCGGGGAAGCGCCATCAGCCCCGCTCCGGGGAGGATG